GCACGGCGCCCGAAACCCCACAGCCCTGCACCGGAAAGCCCGAATGCCTAAAGCGCCCTCCACCTGAAAAGCCGCAAAGACACTCAACCCTAATTAAACCCTAAACCCTAAACCGCTAAACCCCTAAACCCCCAAACCCCTAAACCCCCAAAACCCGCAAAGAATCTCGGGGGCTCGCAGCTTCCAGCTCGCGGCTTCGAGCCCTAGGCCCGGTAGAGAGGCGGAGGATTCCGGGTCTTAGGTTTAGGTCAATGTTGTTTAGGGTTCAGGGTTTAGGGTTTAGAGTTTAGGGTTCAGGGTTTAGGGGGTTTAGAGTTTAGGGTTTAGGGTTCAGGGTTTGGGGTTCAGAGTTTAGGGTTCAGGGTTCAGGCTTTCGGGTTCAGGGTTCAGGGTTTTGGGTTGAGGTAAGGGTTCACATAAGGGCTCTTATAGGGGATCTACAAGGGTTCTATAAGGGATCTAATAAGGGAATTTGATAAGGGTTCTATAAGGGATCGATACGGGTTCTACATGGGTCTGAGGCTTCGCAGGAGTTTAGGTTTGGGGGTTTAGGATGTTGGGGTTTGGGGTGCAGGCTTCAGGGCATATGGTTTAAGGGGCTTGGGCGTTGAGGGTTTAGGTACGTAGGGTTTAGGTATGTAGGATTTAGGTATTTCGTCTCTTGGGGTTGTTATAGTTTAATCCTGGCAAGATCTTTTGATCACGGCAACTCAGTAGTGCCTAGTGTCGCCTCTGAAGTGATGTGCCTGAAGCATAACTTAATACTAAGCACACTTGGACAAGCATCTTTATTGTCGCAACGGAGCATTGAAGAGCCGCATTGAAGAGCCAGAGCATGTGATGGATCCGGAAGAACCCGAGGCCCTGAACTTGCAAGCCTACGAAGTCAAACCCCACCTCGGACCCCCGGTAAGCCTTACTTAAAGGATCATGGGACTTAGTAAGTAGGGTTATAACTAAGGTAACCATGCGTATAACCCCATTTAAGGGACTTATAACCTTACTTACTAAGTCCCATGATCCTTTAAGTAAGCCCAACCTCTTAGTAGCCCAGAAGCCCCAAGCAACTTCAGCTGCCTCGAAATGCCCAATTCTGAGGTTTGTGCTCATTGTCGGACCGGTCACATACTTCTCGACTGCGAACCTCTTTCTGAAGAGCCGCTGGGAATTTTGCGAAGATGAAAGGCCCTAGGGCCCCAAAAAGATCCGAAGTCACGGGCTGGGAGGGTTTAGGGTTCAGGGCTATCAGAGTATAAACCTCCGATTTGCCATGTGGGATAGAGGCACCTTGAGTCAGGGTTGACATGTGTTTGATAAGAGGATGTTCTGGGTGTGGCTGATCGCGACTGCCGCTTCCGTCAAGAGCCCACAGTCCTACTTCGTTTCTCTCAGCGAGATATTTGCTATCTTAAGCCTTAATGGCACATTATCACCGACAAGTTGGGTAAGGGCAGAGTTGTGGAGCCCACTCGCGGTTCGTCGTCCTTCATCTCAACTGTCCACGTTGAGCCACTGCATCTTTTGACTTTTGAAGGACACGCGCCCTCATGCATGTTCTGCCCATGCGGCGCAGCATCATTCTCAAGCATTGCAGCTTGATGCACCACAATATAAGCCGTAGTCATGCCTGTTTCAGCCTATGGCTATAACTATCTGCATACTTGCATACATGCAAGTCCCATGGCCCTGTTTGTGTGTCTACCGACCTGTCTGCCCGCTGGGCTGCCAGTCCGCCTGTCTGCCTGCCTACCTGCCTGCCTGCCTGTCTGCATGGCTGCATATGGCTGCCTGCCTGGCTGACTGTCTGCCTGCCTGTCTGTAAGTATGCGTTTCCGTATTTATATGAGTATGCAAGTACGTACTTGTATACGCCTGTGTCTGCAGATTCGATTTACCAGGAACCATTCATACACAAACACAACAACTGATGACCAAGAACGGCACCTCGCAGTGTGCCTTGTTGAAAGGATTCAGTCGCACCTCATCACCTGTCACAATGTACTCACACGGGTTGGTGGTGGCAAGTGGCAGAATGTGCAACTTTATGCATCGAAGGTGCGTGCACATGATATACGCTCATGTATCTGCTCAGGTTCCTCTGTATGTACGTTCTTCTCTTGTCCGTAGGCCCTAGGCCTGTCGGGCATGTTCTTACAACGCTACTTATAGGTGGCTTTCCAACCCTCCACCTTGAACCTTCTAGTCATACTCTACGTCGTAGTCGAATTCCCTGCACCCTGAACACAGAGCCTCTTTGTTGGATACTGCCCCCACTCAGTAACAGTTAGATAATATTCATAATAGAGATATATAGGGCCCTTAAGAGTAGCCCTATTATAGACTGTTACTGTATTGGGGCAGTACCCAGCCTCTTTGTATCATAAAGCTTTCGAGCTTCCCGAAAGGGGTCCGAACATAAATCCTAAACCCCGGACTGACAGAGCAGGATCCCTGTGGGAATCAGGCGGGCCTTTGTGTATCCCGACCGAAACACAGACCCGAAGCCATGAACCCCCAACCTCCAAGGCAATCTGGTCTCAAACCAAACCCTAAACCCTAAACCCCTCAACCCCTAAGAAATATATCTTGAATTTGTGGCGCA